TGACGAGGAAGGAAGAGCAAACTTAATTTCTTTGGAGATTTTAAAACGAGCACGAAGGTCACGCAGGGACTGTCGAGTGGAAAGCGTGGAACCCGGCGGGTCAGGCTTAATCCGCAGTTTCCTCTTCTTCGTGGAAATCCGCGTAGCCGGCACGTCAACATCGCTCTCTACTTCGACATCATGCTCTGACTTGACAATGTCATCCTCTTCATAGACTTCGATAGCTGCGATATCAGGGGAGACTAGGTGGGTCGCGCTACCTGCATCAGAGCCAGGTGTACGGATGACTCTTCCTCCGGGAGGTGAAAGACCGTCTCCTAAGCCATCAGAGTCTTCTAAGCACGGAGAAACGCATGAAGGACCGGCCTTAAGAGGGCGACTCCGTGGACTCAAAGGGGATGAGTTCTCTGCCATCACAATCCACCCCGGCGTCTTTTTACAATATCACCTTGTTTTCCTCTCACGGTTTCACCTTGGTGACAAGACAATTCACGACGAAATGACCTCGGTTGCGAAGGAGGTGTCACCTCGGTTCTGCTGAAGTTCTTGAACAAAACCACCGCGTCTTCTTCAGTCAACCTGGGTCGACACCTTGGCTCCAAGACAAAGCAGGCGGCTCAATTCAAGACAAAGCAGGCCGCTCGATCTTGTTATCAAGCTTGGAGATCGATCTTGCCTCGGTCCAAGCAGGCGGCTAAATTCGCTCCACCTCGGTGCGATATGTCGTCTCACCTCGGTTGAGAAGCCGAACCGGAAGACAAAGCTCGTCGATGGGGACCGAGGCCACAATTTTTCAACCCATCGCCAACTCGCCCTTTTTCACTTCGTCGGTTGCTAACCTCCGCCTGGGCGTTTCAAGTCGGCGTCGGAATTAACCGCCTTGGTCGAATCCACCTCGGTCGAACCACCTCAGCGCCTCGGTCGAATCCACCTCGGCGCCTCGGTCGAATCCACCTCGGTCGAACCACCTCGGCGTGGAGAAGACGAATTCGTCTCCACCGTAATTTGCGCCGCCCTATCGACTGAGACTCAACTCGGTATCGCAGAACCTCTCCACCTCGGCGTCGACATTCAACTCGCCAACTAGTCGTTTGCCTCGGTGCTAGAATCAGATCTGTTGTCGCCTCGGTTGCAGCACCGTAGCACTCGCCTTGTCGACACCTTCCACCGTAGCACGTCGTTCTCCACCTCGTCACCCGCAATCCACCTCGATTCATAATCAATTTCGCTCACCTCGGAACTCGGCGGCGGAGGTTTT